TTTATAATAGTCGCAGCAATAGCCATGCCTGCTAATTATAGTAGTTTGTATAGCTACTATACGGAGCAAACATTCCTTTGTAAATAGTGAATATGGAAATTTTAATAAACCAGTTTTATTAAATGGATTTTTTTATTGTTTTCAGGTACCTCAAGCTCGTCAAAAAACAAAAAGCAAGATACGCAACCTCTTAATACAATAAAGGTCAGTTTTATAACATGAAAAAGTTTTGTGCTCGCTTTATCATATTTGATAATTTGAAATGAAGCATATTGTTAACGAATAACAAAACTGATGAATACGTAATATCAATTAGTAACTTTAATGCTTGTTCTTTCAAATATTTTCTTTCTTTATGTGAATATATAGATCTAGTTTGCCTTATGAGCGAAGTTATTCTATTGATTATTGAAACCCTATGTCTGCCTACTACTTTCATTTTAGTTGTGAATAATAAAACCTCGGTAACCATAGCAACGCAGCTTCTGAGAAAATGTGTTCATGTCACAGTTACCTACGCCGAGTGTCGGGGTAATTCACTTTTCTCACAGATTGATATTTTCTCTCCAACTTATAGCACGTTTATGTTTGTTAAGGTGGCTGAATTGACTGATAACTATATTTGTTATTCTATGATAACAAATCATCTAAACAGATTTTGGCATGGAGATTTAAAAAAAAGTTATTGTGTTATTTTATTTATATTATAATAAATTTTATTCTACTGATCTCGTTTTCAACTAATCTATAATAACATAATAACAATATTATATATATGTAGTACTTGTACGTATAATATGTATTTATATATAAGGTGTAAAACATATAGTTAATACTATAACTATATATTTAAGTGTGCATGCTTAAAAATCACAAGAAAATTTGACATTACAAAATTGACACAGTTATCAAAGGTAAAAAAATGGTTTACAACCATTATTGGTACCCTCGGCATCGGGTACGAGAAACGTTCGCTTAAACTCTTCGCTCACATTGCTTCATTAAAACTTCTTATGACTGCATAGTGGTGGGTTAAACTATGACTATAACTTATGTTATAAACTAAACGTTAATATTTTATGAAGTGAAATACATATTAGCAAGACTATAAAGTTATATCGAGAATGAATTCCTTCCGAACTGAATGCGAAATTTCATTGCTCGCGGCGTTATTCAGATATTTACTTGCACACAATATCCAGTAAAAAGCTAAACAAGAGATAGCATAGTTTGTTATAACAAACGTTTTCTGACTCGTATATAACAACAAAAATCTATTTTATGAATAGATTTTATGAATTTTTGTTTTATTCACTACAATGTGAATGAAGAATGTTACGCATTTGAAAATGATTCATGAATATATAATATGACACCATATCAAAGCACCTTATTGACACTTACGCCCGAACCCAATAATCCATCCACAATCTCAGATTGATTATTGGGTTATTGGGTATTTGAAAACAATCTGAGATCAGACCGTGACAGTAGATTGATCTCCTATCTGCATCCCAATAACCAAACCCTACGAAGACAATCCATTTTTGGTGACGGATAAATTGCTCTTTGCCGTTCCATTTTACCGAGTTTTCACTCATATTTGATAATCAATGTAAACCAAATAAAGTAAATAAAACCGTACAAATAACATTAAAATATACATTTGTATGTTTAAAACATAACAAACAGTTTTTTTAATTATTTAAAAAAACTGTATTGGCACACTTGTTATAATTTGGATTAAGATTACTATCTAAATGGTGGTGGTGTATTATGGATTGGTATAGGTTATTGGGTTCGGACGTTAAAGCTACATTACTACTGTTATTCGATCTGTAATTTATGTTTGATGTTCAATTTCGTTGTACGACCCTAATCGACTTCTATTTTTAGAATGGTGCAACGAAACCAAAGTTGGGAGTGAGATTTGCTGATACCTCTCTGACTGCTGTCGGAGAGCGCGTCGAAACGTCACCGCGTTGTCGTGGCCCTGCCTGACACCCACCACCACGCCTCTACTGCGCCAGACACGAGCGGTGCCGGGTCCTACACGAAATAAAGACTCGGACAACTGCAGTGTAAATTGAATCCGTAGGTTTAAAAAAAAAAACTCACTTAATGGATTATATTTTTGATGTGAAAACGTCTTAATAATTATAATTCGATGGAGCCGGACGAAAAAACATGACGCATGCGGCTTTACCTCGCTCTGAGGCTTGAAGTGCAAGCGAGAGCGCGAAACGAGCGACAAAAGCTAGGTCCACATTTGTAGCATCTTGACGTATCACGATCAATCGTATCGTATCTAGTATTTGTATCATAAATATGGACGGTCATTTTGTCCATGTCGTATTTTTAAGGCGTATCTTGTAAAAAACGCGTCCATACTTATCATATGCTGTATCATGTCAGTGTATCGGCTTTAACTTTATAAATATAGACGCTTCACTTTTCTTCCGATGTATCTTTTTCTGATGCGCGTGTCTTTCAGTGCACCTTTCCCTTCTCGTACGGTTTAGTCATGTCAGCAATTGCTCACAGTTTGGAGGTGACTAGCGCCAGTTATATTATCATTAATAGTATTTCAAAAAAAGTAAAATCCACACGTAGACGGCGCTGGTAGGAGCTTGAAGTGTTTAGAAACCGAAACAAACATGGTGGCATACCATTGATGCGAGATTTAAAATTTCAGCATACCAGCGGAAAATACAAAAATTTCACTCGCATGTCACCCATTGATGTTGTGTATTCCCTTTGATGATCGCGAAAAAACCGACACAGGATGGTTCGCGGTGTATCAAGTATCGTATCGCGATACAGTATCGTGGTACAGTATCAAAATACGTCCATACCACCGATCGTGATACGCGTATCGGATACGAGGTGTATAAAGATACGCACTTAGTGCGGATCGGGCCGTATCAGATACGGCATATCATTAACGGGTATCATTTTGGGTCCAAACTAACGATCATGATACGCGCCGAAGCCACGCAACGGAGATACGATACACCGAAATGCTACAAATGTGGACCCAGCTTTAAGAGGCACAATCGGCCTCCAAGTTCGGCAGCGTTCGACATCTTTATTGTAAATAAAGTATAGTAATCGATCAATTCAATTGTGATTTCCATTTAACTCCTCTATATCCATACAAAATATCTATCAAACAAATAAAATTAAAATCTTCTTTTTAAAAATGCAACCATTCCATCAGTATTTTCTTATGACGTTCAACTATCGTCAGTAAACCGACTTTACAGATAACCGATTTTTTCTAGCTTTTTAAAGTGCAAGTGTGCCGCTTTGGATATGTTGATTTTCTAACTTCATCATGGGCATCAAGAATTTCCAGGAAAAACTTAAATGATACTAGAAAATTATGTGCCAAAAATAATAATACATCGTAGATTTTTCATAGTCACACATACGTTATACGTTTTAATTATTCATTATAAAATCAAAACATAGTTTATTTTTTAGAACTAGGCATGGCGTTCAATATAAGCTATTTACATTTAAAACAATTATAAACAATTTCTAATTATGTGAAACTAGTTTATTTTAGTCCCATGTCAATAGTTTTATGCGAATGGTTGTTCTGGTTTGTATTTATTATTTAAGTGCAATTTTATTAAATTTTAAAAATGTTTTAATCATTGTGAAATGTTTGCGACTTTGTAATTTTCTTAATATTATATTAATTACCGTATTTCTTAACAAGATTAGGGGCCAACGTAAGATAGATTAATTAATTTTTCCTTTACAAGATAAAACGAACGAACTTTTATTTTGATAAGTGTAAACAAAAAGATGTTTATTATTATTGAAAATAAAATAAATAATCACAAATGAGGCAATTAAAAGCATTTACATTTAAGACTGTACGGAATAATTATCACAGTTTTACAATTGTTTACTTATTATAGCGAGCTTTTATTTGGTTAAATACATATCTGAAGAAAAGAAAATTGTAAAATTTGTTAATTTTCACCTTACGATAGCTGTACAAAAATAAGCTCAAATAAAAAATATACACATAAATGTAAACATATGTATGTGTATGTTTTACTATAGATATAAAGAAATATTTGATGTATTTTTCTCGATGTCCTTTAACCTGTTTATCTATGAAATGATAAAATAAAAACGGTGTATGCATAATTTGATTACATGAAATAGAATATATTAAACTTGCAAATAACTGATAAAGATCTAATGATTTTAACGATTGTTAATATCCGTAATGTTAATGTATATAAGATGTATTTATTTGTAATAAATGTTTTAATGTGATATTACGTTGTATTATTATCTGTGCCACGAAAGTGACCTACGGTCCCTGTATTTTGAAATCTAAATTTTCAATGTATGTTGTTTGACGGTTGATGGTCTAAAGAGAAGACGAATTGCATCACGTGTATATGATTGGTCTTAAAACGCAGTTGGCATCTGCTTTCAAAAACACAATATGTTTGATTAACTGCATTAACTCCCTTATTAATAAACTTACCTTACGCATGAAATTCCTACTGAAATGATCACTTTCGTATCACATTAAAAATATTTAAAAATCATAACATTATATCGAAATAATGTGTGTTAACTTACCGCGATAAGACCCCATTAAAACAGTCATTAGTACTTCTAAATCTTATTCAGGAAGTGATAATATAAAATTTTACCCTATTACTATAACGATAAAGTTAGATAGATGACAGCGAAAAATTTCACTTACGAGTTTAAAATTTGATGTACTCTTCCTGTAGCCATCTTTCTTATCAGCTATAGCTATCTATCATCCCATTAGAACTATGTAACGTATTAACCGAAGCAGTGGTGGCGCACAATATGTTACGTATTTTATATTACTCACACATATTTGAAGATAATTGTGGTCATATTACATGGTGTACACTGTCGTTATTAACTTACTTCGATTAGCCAAGAGTGGACGTAGTTATAAATTATTTTTAACCGCCTTTAAAAATAAAGTGATGTTGTGTTATCGTTGGTTGATCAGAAAAATGTTTGCGGTGCTCTCGCTGTTAATACTATTTTGGATTGTTTATATAATTTACACGTATAATACTAAAATGAACCTTATAAGAGCAAGCCGGAAGGACATAACCCATTTGAATCACAAAAACATGAAGTATATACTTCAATGGACTCGCAGGTTCAGTGCACCGTTTGATTGGATGGGAGAAGGTAACTCAGCCTTTGTTAAATACAAATGCAAATACACAAATTGTTACGTGACAGATGATAGAAGTTATTTTCTTGATCAAAGGGAAATTGCCTTTAACGGAAGGGATGTCATACACCTTTGGCCTTTCCAAATGCCATCTCAGAGATCACCGAGACAAAAATTCATATTCGGTGCAATGGAATCCCCGGACAATTTTCCGGCGTGTCATGAAAATTTAGACGGATTCTTTAATTGGACGTGGACCTATAAATTGGATTCAGATATACGATGGGGTTACCTAGCTATCTATGATAAAAATGGCCAGCTCGTTGGTCCTAAAGTAGATATGGTATGGCCGAATATGACACCAGTCAGCGAGGGCTTAAAGGCACAATTGAAAAAGAAGACCAAAGCGGTTGCGTGGTTTGTGTCTCACTGTTCAACGAAAAGTGGTAGAGAACATTATGTTTCGAGGCTGAATAATGAGCTAAAAGCATTTGGCTTATCTGTGGATATTTATGGGAGCTGTGGTAGCTTAACTTGCCCAAGAAACAACGAGAAATCTTGCTTCAAAATGATTAAAGATGATTACCATTTCTATCTATCTTTTGAAAATTCGTTCTCAGAAGATTATGTAACTGAAAAATTGTTAACAGCCTTAAACAATTATGCCGTTCCTATTGTTTTTGGAGCTGCTCTTTACACGAGGTAATGTTTCTTTACACTCAAGTCGTGTTTGTTGTGCGGAAATCCAATAAGCAAATGTTGGTATATCTTATTTATTATAGGAATAAATAATTTTATCTCGAAACTGTTTTTAACGGTAGAAAGATTTAATAACGGATAGCAAAGATAATTAAGTAATTGACCTAAAGCAATTACTTCAATTGAATCGTGGTGCCAGAGACTATTTCAAGCAGAATTTAATTTTGATTCTTGTTTTGATCTACGAATAATATTATATGTTCATAGATTTAGAAAGACAATTTACGCAACGTGCCATATTTTGCTTTACATTAATCTTAATTATTTTATGATACACCTGTGTCAAAGTAACATGGCTTAGAAGCCTTGGAAGTCTTAATACTCATTATTAAAATAAAAAGAAAAAAAAATGTTTATTATGGAACATAAGATACATGACTGTATCACTTATTCCACGTCATTAAATTTGATTTTGTAGGCATCCCTACTCATCGGCAAAGAAGACAGAGGGTGTAGGCCGAGAGAAAAAGCCGGCGTAAAAAACTCTCGGTACTCTTTTAAAACAGCAAATCATCAAACAACACTTATTTAAAACAAATATCGCAAATTAATTAGAAGTAGCCTGTCTAGTACTAGTCCCAGGCCCTTTTATCAACTAGATAATCGTTGACTTATATTATTATTACTATTATTAAGACAATTAATTACCTTTGTCGCGTGTTTAAAACAAAAATATATTGCTGAGTGTTAGTCAACAACATGTAAATGAGACAGAAGTTAAAATACGTATATTATCATCTTATTAATTATTTCTTTATCCTTATAGGTGCAATGTAATATAATGGTGTTTCGTCGTCGGTTAATATTTTCATATTAATCTATACTTTAAAATATAATGTAATAAAAGAGTTGCTTATCTAAATGGTACGTTATTGTTACGAGTCGTAAAGCGATGAGCTATGAAGAAAATTCATTTCGTAACTAATGAACACTTACTATGCCATAAGAAACGTTTTTATAGAAAATGCATTAGGCCTTTCTGTATTAAAGAATTACGGCTCGTATCAACTTTCTGTTGGCATTTTTTTATATAAACCCTGAAGAATGTATATTGATTTATATCGTTTACTAGCTGGCCTGGCGAACGTCGTACCGCCTAACAGTCGATTCTTTATTTTAAATACTTAAATACTCATTCTGCTAATCGGGACACCGGCCTAGCTAGTAAGATAAAAAAAGAAAGTTGATAAGACAACAAATACATGTCAAAAAATAAAAATTTACCTTCCCGGAACCCCTCCACTAACATTTTAACTTTATGATATGGTATTAAAGTTCAAATTGACTTTTAAGTATTATTACGAATATTTTGTATGGGAATATAGAAAAGTGTTGTTTTTAGACTTTTTCACTCAATTTTTTTTAATTTTTCTCACCATAAGAACCATCCTCGTACTTCAAGGAATATTATACAAAAAAATCAGACAAATCGGTCAAGCCGTTTTCATGTTATGTCGTGACAACGGAAAACGGGTTTCATTTTTATATATATAGATTACACGTTTTAATTTAAATAATTTTATCAAATAATTTTCGTTTCAATTTAGATTTCTACCGGATGGCAGTTACATTGACGCAAAAGCCTTAGGCCCAACAGCACTTGCAACCGAGATAAATAGCATACTTGAAAACAAGACGAAGTTTTACGATTTCTTTCGATGGCGCAACCATTTCGTATACAAAGGTACTGATGGACCAGATGTTTGCAACCTCTGTAAGATTCTCAATGACGAAGAGAAGGTGCAAGAAATAAATGTGGTGGAATGGTGCACGTTATAAGGATAACTGTTTTTAGGAAAACATGTGGAACACTGTGAAAAGTATTAAATGTGCATTAAAATTTTTTTTAGTTACCTAAATCATATTAGGTTGCACCCGACTAACCTTCTATGAATGCCAGTGCTGACTAAATAAAGATTGAATAATAATATTAAGTGCAGTGGTAAGTTTTAACTCATGTTTGAGGTGTTAAAATTTTAATATTTTAAATTTTTACCAATAAAGAAAATTTATTAAGACCTTAAATAAAAATCTCTCTCTGTCTTACGGCTCATTAAATAATCTAACTCAATCAATCTAAAACCAAAGTATATTTTCTAAATAAAAATGAGCTTATCTTAAACTTTTGTTAGTCAAACAATGCGTGTTGTGGTCTGTGGATTGACTTTGATAACATCAGCGTTGAACTCTAGTTTGCGCGGGCCGATACGCGAACCGCGTGTTATCGGGGCCTTTTTCCCGCGCCTTTAGTCAGATTAGGGTGAAAAAAACCCTTCACCGAGGAAAGCGGGGTCCATGGCGGTGTGTAGAGGCTCATTCCGTTGGAATGCTATAACGTAATATCGTTTCACGATTTAATTTTTTTCGTTTTATTTCCAGTATTTAAATAAATTATTTTACTCTAAAATAGTTGTATGATTGTCATGAATAATATATAACCCCTTTTTTAATTTATTACGTACATTTTAAATTTATAACAGTATATAACTTTAAAATAATGTTTATACATTTATGATAGCGACTTCGCCAGCGACAGTATAAAAATCAAGGCATAGACGATTAAGCCTAGGTTTTTCAGAATCTTTGGTCAAATTTATGTTTTAAAGAAACAATCAGTGTCTTCTCTTTTACTGTGTACGGTTCCTGGGTCATGGGGGGTCCGAAATAATAGAAGATATTTGACTTACTCTGTATTTATCACTCGCGTAACACAATAGAATATGAGCGAAATAATGGAATGTTAATTGCTATATAACGAATGAGTGCAATTTAACCATCAGAGAGAGTACCGACGTCTGGCTATGCTCTCGGGGTGAAACTACGACGATTTAGGAAATCGTCATGCTTATAAGTGATCAAACTGTACAGCCAGGGTACGTACTTACATAGTCACGCTTATAGGGGGTTTACACGGGTGACTAAAGCCGCACGATTTTTGCCGCGCGGCGTAAATCGACCATCTAAATGGCAATTCGGCTAAGTCGCAAGTAACTAAAGCCGCAAGCCCCAAAGTTGGGTAGCATCCGACTTTGGCCGCGCGGCAACCGGCCACATGCGACTGGTAACCAAAATCGTGTTTCGCGCACGCGCGTGTATTTATTTACTCCAAAATCCATACTCGTACCCAAACATTACGTTTTCTTATTTCCTTTTGTTTTTTCTTGTCTCTTTGTTCTTTAGGCAATTGTTGAATAATTAATTATTTCAATTCCAGCACAAACGGCCATTCTGCTCAACATTTTTGACGCTGCGATGACGCAACGCAGCGCAACGTCCTAATGGGGCCTCGCTCTTATTCAACAGTAACGCCTTGAGTGCGCTTTGAAACCCTACAGTGTTAGGGGCAACATTACTCACTCCGTAACTTTTAATGTTCCCGAAGAAATTCACAACTGGGTCTTGGTTTAAGTTTCTTGTTAATAATGCATCTAAGGGGCCATCCATAAAGTACGTCACACGAATTTTAGGACTTTTGAACCCCTCCCCCCGTCCTTGTCACATTTTTATAACCCCCCTCCTGATGTGACGTCACACATTTTTTAAATTTATGTATGTATTTAAAAATAATTGAGAGAAAACAGCTATTTTCATTTAATTAATTAAATATAGATCAAGTTCGTAAATTTTAATTCACATCCAAACTTTGCGTTTTAGTATTTAAAATATTAGTATTTTGGCACGTGAAAAGAGCTTACATTTAAGCTGTCAAAAATATTATCTAATAGAAGTGTAATGTCTATTAAATTTTTGCATTCTTCCGGCACATCACCCCTGGTAGTGAGATGATCCGCTGCCACGGCAAAGCTGTGACTGAAGACTTGTGTTGCCAACTTCACCCTCATTTTGTTCATTTTATCGGGCACTTAGTGTTCTTCAGTTATTTTATCTAACAATGCGCCTTTTGTCGGCGGCATATACTTGCTGATAATACTCCCATTTAACTCTCTTCTTTATGGTGTCAATGGTATACAGCATTTCTTTTGTCATTAAATTGTTCCTCATACCTTTTATCAAATCCTTCCAAACTGTCCTTCGACGCATTATATGTCACTTGGGCTCTCAATGACATTTCATCAAATATTAAGCTGCAGAGGCGGTCTTGTTATTTATTCCGCAGCACAGTATGGCGGATTTTTTGGAATACGTAGGATTTATACCCATACGAATTTTCACTTGAGTGAGCAGACGTTTCATCGATTTGCTTGAAGGTAATGTAAAATATTTGTAGAGCAATCCATACCCTTTGGGACTTTTTGACGTGAAAACGTCTTATAATTCGATGAAGCCAGCTGCACGCACGAAAAAACATGACGCATGCGGCGTTACCTCGCTCTGAGGCGTTCCATTTAAGGCTTGAAGTGCAAGCGACAGCGCGGAAGGAGCGACAAAGAGGCAAATCGGCCTCCGCGTTTGGCAGCGTTCGTTCGTTAAAAATTGACATAATTGTATTTATGCGTACAAATAAATGTAACTTGATCAATTCAATTGTGATTTCCATTTACCTCCTCTATATCCAAACAAAATATCTATCAAACAAATAAAATTAAAAATTTCTTGTGAAAAATGCAACCATTCCATCAGTATTTTCTTATGACGTTATCACGTTCAACTATCGTCAGTAAACCGATTTACAGACAACCGATTTTTTTTTATAAAGTGAAAGGGCAAGCACTTTTTCATCTACGGTAAAACGTCGACCTTTCGGAGCTGAGCTCATTTGCTCATATTTTTCACCACCTCTCCAAAGGCATTGACTTTGCACAATTTAGCGGCCAGGGATAGTCTGTCTTTGAAAGATTTCGCTCTCTTACGTAAGCGACAAATCTCGCTGCAGGTATCGAAGTACGGTATTTTTGGTTCCTCCTGTAAAATAATATTCTTATGTTTGTTACATGTTCAAAACATAAAGATATAAAAAGGAAAATTACAAGTGCCATTATGACTGACTAAACTCGGGTACCATCATGATCCAATACCATCGTCAAGTGTATCAAATATTAAAGACCATTTCAAAAATTTAACATATGTAGCTTCAAAATAAAAAGTTGATAAAACAAACAAAAATAGATTTTATGGTTCTATACACAATGATCGTCCACAATATTACCTGTACGAAACGTAGGTACTAAAGAACTTTAAGTAAAAATTAAAAACTAAACCCGACTACAAAAAGGTTAAAACAAGACCTGTTTAACCTTCAAAATATATTTACTCGCATAGATATTCATTGTCGGAGGACCCCACATTCGCATTTCATAAACTGGCTTCCCATGAAGATTAATTAAATATAATATTTGAATAATAAGCTGGTCTTATTTCAACCTTTTTGTAGTCGGGTTTTAGTATTTAACTACTCTTTTATATATTATTATCATATATGTTATATTAACCTTTCTTGGAAGCCATCCTCGTATACCGGCTGACCGTACAGTAATTGTGGTCCGTTAAGATGGACAGTAAAGCTGCATCATGCTGTGTACATATTCCACTATAACTACAAATAAACAATGAACATTAATCATAGATAGATAGATATAAAAATCTTTATTGTACACTAAAGAATCTAGATACTTAAATGACATTATTTTCTTATACAAGATCCACAGACAGACAGCGTAGGCACGGTTATTGATATTACTGTTTCATGTATTTACTTACTTTTTTTTGTTTTAGAAGAGCTTGATTCTTGCTTGAGACCCTGTTGCTATCTCCAAGCACAGCAAAGTTGTCTGGAAAAAGATTTTTAACCAGATTAGCCACCATACATAACACAAATGATTTGGGTAAAATAGGTCTTCAGCTCATAATTTAGTCTGTTAAACCAAAGTGGAGTTTATTGTGGAATATAGAATGGATAATTTATGTGACGGGCCTGTGTCCAAGTCCCAACAGTGGGCCAATTCTTAGGTTGATGATGATGGTGATTCCACAAACCCACTCTCTCATCTTCAGCTCTGTAGTGTCAATGGGACGATAGACTGACACAACTGACGAAGAGTTGAAGATGCATGACCCACAGTTTAACTAACTTATAAATAAATAGTAAGAATAATATTAAGATAACAAATCATTGACAAGTATAGAACCCTATTCTATTAGAAACCTCTCTAACTAGTAATTCTGTAAGTTAAGTAATGGTTTATTTATGAAACTTACCCAACAAATGAAGTGATGGGACGGCAAGTGCATTAAGTCTCTTGTAACGGTTTCGATCCCTGTCTGTGAAATGTTTGTCACAAACTTTTCTATTGTAGGTATAGTCAGACTCAGTTTCCAATTTGCCACCGACCAAGGTATTCCATGTTTTGTATTCATGTAAGGTCTGAAAAAAGATTGGTTTGGTTGCAATGTTGGTTCGATACTTACAAGATGAACGTATAAGTTATTCCATTCAATACCAATCCGCCAATTTGTTGCAGAGTTCAGGAATAGTAAGTGGATATTGGGTATACAGACAAACGGAGTCAACAGTAAAAACGGAGGAGTCTTACAGCTCAACTCAACGCTCTTTCTGAAATACAAAATCGCCACAACAAACTTTTCACCACAACAGCTACATATTATTTTTAAAGACGGTTACAGAATTTCATTGTGCAAGACAGCTGTTGTTGAGTTGACACTTGACAGAAAAACACGTGCACAAAAACAAAATAATGTTGCCAGAATACATAAAATCTGCCAAATTTTAAGAAGTTTACAGATTGTTATTTTTATGTATTTATGCTAATTTCCTTCTATTTTATGATAATAGTAATAAAACTGAGAAAGCTTTATAAATGTGTTTTTTGTAATTTATTGTCTTAGTGACATCTATAGGCAAATAAAATAACTACTAGGTTCTGGAGAAATATAGTAGATGGCGCCACCATATTCTTTAAAAGTCACTTAAATCTAACTGTCCCCACCCTGAGCGTCGAATAGAGCAGGGATTAAATAAGTTTAGTCGTTTTCGCGGTGAAAAATGAATACAGAGTTTTTTATTATTGAAATACTGGCAAGACCAGGTATTTGGAAGTCTGGCCATCCACAGCATAAATTGAATATACCTTAATGTCAACAAAAAATTTTCAGCGGCACTTAAAATTCTATTTGCATTAACTTTTTTCTCCAATTCTGGTTGAATATTGATAAGAATATAATCGAAGGTTTCAATACTCATTCTGGTATACTCAAAAAAAATTCTGGATATATTCTGTATTTCTCATACTTCTTGTGGAATTCTCCATCTATACCTTCGAATCTTATTTAATATATTATTAATTCATATACTCCACAATCTCTTTCAAATAATATATGGCCTTGAACCAAAAGCTATTACTTTCCAAGCAATATCGAGATGATTTCGATAAAGACATTTAGATGTCGAACTTCCTTACTGGTCGCAGCGGCGAACGTGACTGGTGCGTGACCTGCAAACGGCGCCGCGTGAATGGTCGCCTCGCCTCCCGCTTCGCTGATCCCCGTGGCCAGGCCATAAGGGTCACAGGCTTAGCTTACTGAGGGTATTCCATGACGAGCATGAACATATCGGAGTTGACAAGACTTGTGATCTAATTTTAAAACACTTTTGGTTTCCCGGTTTAATGCAATTTGTTCTTAAGTATATATGGAAGCAAATTCATTTATAATGATTATATTGTTACAAAAAATATATAAAGATTGATATTTAAATTCAAGTAAATAAATATATGTATGTCAGAGATTAGGTTATAATAAAACACGGTTGGTGCGTTCCACTAAGCGCTCACGACGATCACGCTCACGACCGCTGATTTCCCCATTCCACTTGATTGTGAATGTTACTGTCGTTAACTCAAGTGGAATGGATTATGGAGCGTTTCGGGCGTTCATGTAAATATTACAAATGTCAAGTTTGAAAATAGTAGAATTTTAAGGAGGTTAGGTAATCATAAACAATAAGTTTTGATATTTGTGACTTAAATTTATTTATGTTAAATGTGAAGAAAAATTGAATATTTTATAAATAATTTTGGTGAAGTTATCAAACAACTTAAGTTTAAAATATAATCGAAATGGCCTTACAATTTCTCTTTCTGAATCAAATAATGTGATTTTTCTTGTCGCCATCTTTAAGCTTTGAATATAATAATATTATTATTTGTCATATTTCAAAAAAAAATTCAAAAATTGCGCCAAATTATTCTCAACGTTCACAACGACCCACCTCTTTAGATGGGTCGTTGTGAGCGTTGCGTGAGCATTAGTCATGACGTCATGAGTGACGTTTTCGCCGTGACCACAACGACCGCGGTCGGTATGTGGAATGGCTAAAGGAGCATTTTGATCGTCGTGAGCGCTTAGTGGAACGCACCAGGTGTAAGTTGTTTGATTACAATGGCAACGCCACGCAATAGCTACACCACGCAATATCATAGACATCTTGTGCCAATGGATTTTGTATCCGGCCAATAAATAAATTAAAAATCATAGACATCTTACTGGTTGTAAAGTGTCAATTGTCAAATTCAAGCTGTCAGTAGTGCGTAGAATCGGTCGTGAAGAGCTTCAGTTGCTTTCCGATCGGCGCCTGCGCCGGATGTGCGCACTGACTGTGTTTAAATATTAAAGTAATTAAGTAATAATGTCGGACGACGGTAGTGATACATACTTTGTAATTATTAATCGCGGTGAATCTCCGACATCAGAAGTGGGATCGATACAAAATTCATCCTGCGTGCCTACCGCAATGCCTGCTACTGGTAATCGTGAATATTTCACACCTAATTATGAAGTAAATTTCAAAATATGATGGCAGGCTTCCAAAATACCTAGAACTTCTAAAAGAGAAACCATCGAGTGTGGGTGATAAAAGGACGCTAAAACCTAGTGAGATTTATCTACCGTCGTTTGTTCTGTTGTTGTCGTGGGCTCCATGTTCGTACCCGTTGTGAGTGTGGTGTGTTGTGTTCGTACCTGGGAAGAGTTTACGGACTTTCTCTTCAGTTTGTTGGAATAAGGACGTTTCACGACTTGTTTCGCGATATGGTGGACTATTCGAGTGACCACGCGGTGACCTACATTGAATAGGTATTTCACCAACAAAATGGTGCTGATCGACCGGCTGGAAACAAGTTTGGGTGAGTCCAATAATATTGTGATGTTAAGGTACGCACAGATTTACTTAAAATTAAATTAAAATACTCCGACGAGTTTTGTGTCACATTTAAATGCGTAGCCTAACATTAAAACCTTACGTGAAATTCAAATGTGAGGTCCGCGGTGAATATAATGCTTCTAAGCACCCTAAAATATGCGATTTAACTACAGGTTATTACCATTTTTTTGATAAGGTAGGACATTGAAAACGACAGTTTATTTTTACGTATAAAAATAAAAATGATGGTACCCACCCTCGCACGTCTGTTGATAAATCTAGTGAACAGTCAATAGTTAGTAGAACGCGATGTTCATATTGCCACAAACTTGGACATTCTAGTTTTATAATGTAACTGATCATGGGGCGGGTTCAGGGATATGAGGCCTGAAGGCCTGTAGGCTGTAGCGCCACTTATTTATTTATTTTATTTAACGAGAATAAAAATTCAAAGATTGCAATTTACAATCAAAATTGGTCAACGTTTGTACATCCTCTAATCAAAATTTGCATAGGCATTTATACTTTGCAAGCACTGATTGACAGTGGTTCAGGATGTTCCCTGATTAAAAAGAAGTTTGTAGGGTTCCATATCGAAATAACGTTTGTCATTGTTGATTCACATTTGCTGCAGTATGACGTAATCTTAGGTAGAGAGATATTTAAAACACCCGGTTTGATGTTTACCCTTAATAGCGACGGCGCTAAGATTTTACGCGATGCTAGTGTCAATGCGTGTCGTGCTTTAAGCATATTTACAGAGTTGGGTAAAATTTGCACCGACTTAACTGAGCGTAACGATATTAAAAGATTAAGGGCTATTGTGACAAAATATAAAGGAAATTTTACTAGTGGAAATTCTAATACTATCGTTAATACAAATTAAGTTACAAATTGATCTAAAAATATCTTAACAAAATTGTACAACGTCATCCGTAAAGGTTGGCTCCTTCTGAACGTAGCGTAATGCGTGAGATTATTACTGATTTGGAATGAAAAGTCCGTGCGAGCTCTTCGCCTTTTTCTAGCCCTGCATTTCTTGTTAAGAAGAAAGACGGGTCCGACCGTCTTTGCGTTGATTATCGGGAACTTAACTCCAATACCGTGCGTGACAGTTACCCATTGCCATTGATATCGGAACAAATTGATGGTCTTGTGCGAGCATTATATTTCTCCAATTTAGTCGTGGCCTTTAGATTTCATCAGATATTAATAAGATGATGTTTAAAATTCTGCGTTTATCACTAAATAGAGTACCGAAAGGCTGAAAGGATTAGTACAATTCGATTCAATTCAAATTCGACACCTAGATTACTTGTGCCGTAACCCTTAGGTATAGTTGCAAGGAAGTAAATGCTTCGCGTGTGAGTAAAGAACGGTTGTAAGCCGAACAAAAGTTAGAACCTGACGTTAATTGAATTATAGAATTAATAGAAAAAGATACTATTGAAGCTTACCTTCGGTCGTCTTGTACAAAGACAATAATTTGTTATGTTGACAATAATTTATTATGTTGATAGCAAAACTTTGAGTAGCGTCATAGTGCCCAAACATTTTCCTTGGCAATTAACTCAAAGGTTTCATGGTGAACTAAAACATAACGTTTCATACCATACACATAGACACGAGCGGTAAATTAACTGGTGGTAGGATCACGAAGGAATATGTGATTGTTATTATTGACGCATTCACAAGGTTTTGTCATCTAACTTCTCTCAAAGATTTAACTTCGCGATGTGCTTGCGAAGCCTTTAAAAGCTTTGTCCATATTCTCGGAACACCTAAGCGTATTATATCAGATCAGGGCACCTTATTCACGGGACAAGATTTTTAAAAAACTTTGTAAAGAAAATCTATTGAATTACATGAAATCGACAGTGTCGTCTGTCGTGGTAACGGGCAAGTAGAGCGCCTAATGTCCGTTTTAACTAATTGTTTTACAGTCGCTGAAAATCATGAAAACAGGTCTTGGAAATCTGTTATCGGTAAAGTTCAATTAGCATTAAATTGTACTGTTTCGAAAAGTAGGGGTGAGAGAGGTCCGTTTCAATTATTATACAAGAGTCCGCCTAGAGTGAACTATCTAGCTATAGATCTTGATACTAGCGAGAATCAGGATTTGATAGAAGTAAGACAAATAGCTAAAAGTAGGATGGACGAGCAGGCAAAAGAGATAAAATACGTTTTGACGAATAATTAACAAGTTAACTGAAAAATTTAATTGTCCATGTAAGATCACTAAAGTATGATTGAGTGATCGTTACATTTGTGTGGCATTTTCTGGGGGATGGTCCCAATATGTGTGCCACGAATGATTGCGTAAATATCTGGCTAGTCTGCCTGAGTTGTCAGAATGTGTTGACCCCATAGTAATCATAAATTATTAATTTTATGTCATTGTAAAACAGATTCCATTCGGTAACGTGTTTCATAAGTTTGGGGGATTAAGGGTTAAGCTTTAAGGTTGGTGGACTCAGTTTCCGCACTTCACACATAATTGGTCCGTTGTGCGTAGAGTCCTGGCTAGTTTAGCCAGTCTAGCTCATCCAGATGCACAGAAGTCTCCTGGGCACTTCACAGGCTTTCCAGAGAGACCTCACTGCTCCGAAAATGCACATTGAACTTTGGGGGTACTGATTAGTAATCTAAACCGAATTATTGTATTAAGCCGTGAACAATTGAGGAGATGACGAATTTTTCTTTAGTTTTGTTGATCTAGATCGTGATGGTATTTTATTTAATACACAAATTATGATCGTTATTGATTTTTAAAAGGTTTTATGTTGTCTGAACTGAATTGTTGTATTAAGCCGTGAACAATTGAGGAGCTGACAAATTTTTATTTTGTTTTGTTGGTCTAGATCGTGATGGTATTTTATTTAATACACAATTTATGATCGTTATTGATTTTTAAAAGGTTTTATGTTGTCTGAACTGAATGCACACAAAATTTCATGAGAATCGGACAAGCCGTTTTGGAGGAGTTTAACTACAAACACCGCGACACGAGAATTTTATATATTAGATATGGCATATATATTAAAATATGGCTATTATTACGAGGTTACAAAGTACATTACGATTTAAACATAGTTGTTATGTATATTATAATTTAGTTTAAATTTTTTATTTATTTATTTATAAATAAATTGTTTTATATTTTAGTTTAAATTATTAAAAAATAACTAAATGTAAATTACAGTAATTTACCTAATTAGACTGAAGAGCATAAGCGATTTACGATTGTTTCACTGTTTAAACATAATTACGGACGACACAGTAACCACATTACGACAGTAATTTTGATGTCTAGAACGTTTTAATTTATTACCAAACTTTCGCGAAAATATGACCTTGGTGTAACAGATATATTATTACCACTATTTAACTGTTTTTAAACTGTCTCATTAACATTTATGATTATTAGGTAGAATTACAATCTAAACTAAAACTATCTTTACGATTGATGCGGTCTATTTCTGAAAAGTAAAATTAGGTAAACTCGTACTAATAGTGGGCACACAAAAATTTCCGTAGAATAAAGACAGAAAATTCCGAAAAAATTCAGTTATTATCATACAAGTCAAAAATGAGAAAACAGTAAAATAGTCGTATAGTGCGTTACGACTTTGTTCCTTTGCGCAAGCGATTAATGTAATGAAAATCAATTGTTTAGTGGACATAAAATGTAAACAATATATATTCCATAATCACATACATTTTTTTTTAGTAAACAATAAAGAAATATAAAGATTTAAATTACACTTAAAAAGTAGTTGGTGGACTAAACTAATTGGTTTAAAATATTTTTTGTGTTGGATATTATATGTAGTAGTCCTATAGATTAGAAAAAAATATATATATCAGTGGTGCTACAGCCTTTTTAGGTCTGGGCCTCAGATTTCTGTATCTGTTTCATGATCATTTGTCAATCTAATAGGCAAGTAGGAAATCACTGACACACGCTATCGACTTTTTGGGTCTAAGGCAAGCCGGTTTCCTCAAGATGTTTTCCTTCACCATTCGAGCGAATGTTAAATGCGCACATAGAAAGTCCATTGGTGCACAGCCGGGGATCGAACTTACGCCTGAAAAATACATTTTTAATTTTATTACTATAATATTTGGTAAAGGGGCTGTTCAAGTATTATGTAGCAGATTTACTGCAATTTATACACACAGCCCCCCACCCCCCACTCTTTTCGTCAATTTTTTGTAGGAATCCTCCAATGTACTTAGTTTTCAAGCTAGACAATGTGTGGGTAATATGTGTAAAAAAGGAAATAATTACGTAATCGCCAAATAAGAAAATCAAAGAAATCCCCTTTCCCCCAGAGTGCTTACGTAATACTTGAATGGTCCCAAAGGAACTGTTACACCTGAGGATATTCAGTTCTGGAGCAGGTTGTGAGGATCAAACTCATCGGTGAAGTGTCTGATATGACAGATTCTCCGAATCAGTTACAATTATTGTAAGTGATATAAGATGCCCAAACTGCTTAGATAGAATAGCTATAGTACCCATACTGGGCCCCCATACTAACTGAACACTTACTGTGTAGCTAAGAAAACCCAGACAAAGACACAGATCTAAAAAAAAGAGCTAGAGAAATAGAAGACTCTGGGCTTTTTTATAGAACAGGTTTACCTGATATTAAGTGTCCATGGACAACTCACACTGCCAGAAGGCTCACAAAAAAATGTTCAGTAAAGAACAAAAAAGGGGTGATATGGGTAGAAATTCTGCTTGACGTCTGATGATGAAACTTAGATGCAGGCCATCTGTAATCTCCATGACATATGTGATAGAAGCTACAAAGAGACCTCACATCTCTACAACACGCCAATGGAACAAGGCACTCGGAAAGTGACTGGTTGTCGACTATTCAATTCACATGGAACAAACTAGTACTGGGAAGCTCCTGTCCAGAGGTGAGAACAGTATGTGCGGGGCCAAATTTGTGCATATTGTATAGTTCAAAGTTATACCCCAGAGTAAAGTACCGTCTCTCTTTGCTGACCACACCAAGCTTCTAAGAGCATAGTTATTTTAAATGACCGTGAAAATGTATGTCATTCATTATGTAGAAGATAGATTAGCCCAGTATTTCAATGGTGGCTGAGGCTTTAAAGAGAGGAGTAGTGACAAAAGGTGTTTTTTTAAACACACAAACTTGTGTCTTCTTTAAAATCTATTGAATACATTATAACAATACATACCTTGATTCTTAACATTACTTTTATCCTAAGTTTTAAGTCGTCTGGGTTTACAGTTGATATATCAGCTAATGAATCTAAATTATGCATTGCATTTAATCCTAGCATTGAAGATGATTCATACTAAAAAAAAGAAATTTATCTTTAATAATATTATATTGATGATTCACAAATCATATAAGGCTTTTGCAGATAAATTGATCATTACTTTTTCTAAAATCAGTAATTTTTTGAAACAGAATTACCCAGGCATCTGAAACCAGAAAACCTACAAAGAAAAAACAATGAGTGAAACAGAAATGAGTCTACCCTATTCCATCAAGACACTTTTAGCATGAAATAATTAATATTTGTTTTTGTTGTGGAATATTGTTATTAGACTGGAATCTACTTCAATCAAATAGATCTATCAATATAATGACAGACACATGCAGTATATCAAAGTTAAATAAGATGTTTCACACATTTCTGTGAATTAAAACGTAATTAAAGCACAACTTTCTTATGAAGAATGCAATGTAAGAATTTATTTGCATAGTAAAGGTTTATTACCTTAGATAAATAATAATGAGTAACTAGAGGAACTAGGAATAATATCACAGACACCATTAATATGACTCGAGAGAGTTTAATATGCCCTAACCACTGGAAAAATTTTATCGTGTAAATGCATTGTTGACGAGGAAATTAATTCACTGTAACTCTTGTTATTAACCACATTAGAGAAAAATAAATATTCATATGAAATAGGCTATTGTGTTTTCACCGCATTTTAATTGACAAAATACGTCTATGATATACTGAAACTTGTTTATTTGCGTTTTAAGCATAACTAAAAATATCATGAGATTAGATAATGCCTCCGAAGTCCGAAATAATAAAATTTAAAATACACAAAAAACACGCTCTTGACTTTTCGTTTGATTCTTAGACTACGACTATAATAATTTCGATTTTCGACCACAGACCTAGCACATACGTCAGACACTTATTGCACCACAGATGGAATCACAGATTTATTATTTAATAGTAGATACTGTGTACATCGACAAGAAGGATTAATGTTAAGGGCTACTTTTTGTTCAACTTTATTGAATCGAACGCGACCAAATAATAGTTTAGAACATAATATATAAAATTAAATATTTTAATTAAAACTAGTTTATTACTAGTAAGATTAATAACATATAGGTACTATGTCTAATATAATAAAAACTTCATCTTCAAGTTAATAAATATATATGGGCGCAAATTCATATATAATGATTATATTGTTACAAAAATATAAAGATTGATATTTAATTCAAGTAAATAAATATATTTAAGATAATAATAAATAATATAAGTCTGTTGCAAATTCATAGCATTTATTATTTATTTTTAAGGAATGGTCATTCATCATCATATTTTGGTAATATCAGGGTCAAATTAGTTGAAAACCGTTATATGGTTTATTTTATTTACCAATATTAATGGATCTGCAAATTAACGACTATTTGATAGTCTGTAGTCTTTATAATAATTAATATTGAATAAATTGTGTTAGTGTCAGCTGTTATTGTCATTGTCATTTAACAATGTCAAAGTCGAATTGGTTCGAGGCCGTTAATACGAATGGTTTATTTGATTTGTCAATGTTGCTAGATCTATAAATTAACGGCTATTCAATGGTCGATAATAATAATGACTCCATAGTCATTAATTATTATTATTAAACGTAATATATTATCATATCACTTTAAACATTTAAAACTTATTGATAATGAATATTCAAGAAACTCGTTGACACTCGTTTCTATGACTGCCGTTTGACTCTGTGGTCGATTCGGGTTCGGTCGTGGAACGAGTACACGAAATGTCACGAAACATGTTTATTACAAATTCGTCAAGCAGAAATCAAAGTTAACATTACGATATGTATAATATATAGGTATATTATGATATGTGGTTTCGATCCCCACCCGCTTTCTATAAAAGAAAGGCCTCAGTGTGCCACGCGCTCTGTTGTTGCTCGAACGTTGACAAGACAAGTGGTTGGTGTCGAGGCCGCATACTGTGAGTATGTTTTTGTGTTATTTTTATTCGGTGGTTTTTGAAAGTGAAGTGTTTTAACTAAAGTTCTGGTAGTGTGATTTTGTATGAGGGCCTTGGATGCGTGATGTATGATAGACTAGGCACTAACGTAATGTCGTTGTGATTAACTAACAGGATTACTGCTGCACTTATTGCGATGACGAATACCCTGATGACGTTGGTGAGCCTGCAGCTGCGTGTACTGATCCTTCAGCTTCCTCAAGAACACACGAACCACATATTGGTGACCATGGCGAGCAAGATGCCGTTCTCCCGAAGAAGAGATCACCAGTACATCCAAGGACGGTGCACGGTCAGGAGAGGCCGTATAAGTATGTATGTAAGTATTTTAATTGTATTTTTTTTAACTATTAATTTCTATTTAAATTTTTTTTGTGAAACTTATGTTTACAGGCTAGTGTGTGCCTTGATGGTTGAAACGGACTGCCAATGTGGTGCGGTCATTCTGTTTTCCTGAGGCCAGCAACCTTGAGAAGCGGGCCTCGGCAGACGTGCATCCTGTGCGCGTGGCGGGCGCTGTCCCGGAAGATGTGTTTTTTGAACACATCAGGCGCAGTCCTGGTTCACGTTACTAACGTGGGAACTTGTACAATTTCAAGTATGAGAATGAGTGAGATGTTTTGTGAGATGATGTATGCATACTTTTGAAAGTGAAGTGTTTTAACTAAAGTTGTGGTAGTGTGATTTTGTATGAGGGCCTTGGATGCGTGATGTATGATAGACTAGGCACTAACGAAATGTCGTCGTGATTAACTAACAGAATAACTTTTGCACAGATTGCGATGACGAATACCCCGATGGCGGTGAGCCTTCAGCTGCGTGTACTGATCCTTCAGCTTCCTCAAGAACACACGAACCACATATTGGTGACCATGGCGAGCAAGATGCTGTTCTCCCGAAGAAGAGATCACCAGTACATCCAAGGACGGTGCACGGTCGGGAGAGGCCGTATAAGCATGTATGTAAGTATTTTAATTGTATTTTTTTGTAAATTTTTAATTTCTATTTAAATATTTTTTGTGAAACTTATGTTTACATTAATTGTTACACATTTCAGATGTATTGATTGATTGTCCTAGGCAGGGCAGGCGAGCAAGATGCCGTTCTCCCGAAGAAGAGATCACCAGTACATCCAAGGATGGTGCACGGTCGGGAGAGGCCGTATAAGCATGTATGTAAGTATTTTAATTGTATTTTTTGTTAATTTTTAATTTCTATTTAAAAAAATTTTGTGAAACTTATGTTTACATTAATTGTTACACATTTCAGATGTATTGATTGATTGTCCTAGGCAGGGCAGGCGAGCAAGATGCCGTTCTCCCGAAGAAGAGATCACCAGTACATCCAAGGACGGTGCACGGTCGGGAGAGGCCGTATAAGCATGTATGTAAGTATTTTAATTGTATTTTTTTGTTAATTTTTAATTTCTATTTAAATATTTTTTGTGAAAATTATGTTAACATTAATTGTTACACATTTCAGATGTAAGATTTTGTAAAATAATTAGTAGATTTTGTACTGTATGTGATGTTTTAAGCTTAATAACTAAATAAATAAAAAATATAAGCAGAAATCATAGTGGGTGGTTTCGATCCCCACCCGCCTTCTATAAAAGAAAGGCCTCAGTGTGCCACGGGCTCTGTTGTTGCTCGGACGTTGACAAGAAAGGTGGTTGGTGTCCAGGCCGCATAATGTGAGTACGTTTTGTGTTATTTTTATTCGGTGATTTTTGTGTTATTGTTTTAATGTTAACGGTTGTTTTTAAAATACCCAAAGTCGTGTTGTTTTGATAGTATAAGTAAATTTTAAAGTAGATTTTGTGTGATTTCGAGAAAACCGTGATTTGTTCTTTAATGAAGTTATTTTTGGTTAAATCACTTCGTAGCTTATTTCGAATAGTTTTTTTTATTTGATTATAACTTCTGGTTGCTAAAATCAGAAGTGGGATAGGATTTTGCTTACAAATAAGCCTTGTAAAAAACTGTTAATTTAAGAATAATTTGCCACGTGCTTACCGCAAACGGTCAATTAGGACGCCGTCAACTCGCTCTCTAATTGAGGGTAGCCATCAAAAGCTGTTTCTAATGTGTTATTTCCTTATGTTAAGGATGTGCGCGTGATATGTTGGCTTGCGTGCGGTGTGAGGCAAGTGTGTGCCTTGCTGGTTGAAACGGACTGCCAATGTGGTGCGGTCATTCTGTGTTCCTGAGGCCAGCAACCTTGAGAAGCGGACCTCGGCAGACGTGTATCCTGTGCGCGTGGCGGGCGCAGTCCTGGTTCACGTTACTAACGTGGGAACTTGTACAAGTTCAAGTATGAGAATGTGTGAGATGTTTTGTGAGATGATGTATGCATACTTTTGAAAGTGAAGTGTTTTAACTAAAGTTGTGGTAGTGTGATTTTGTATGAGGGCCTTGGATGCGTGATGTATGATAGACTAGGCACTAACGAAATGTCGTCGTGATTAACTAACAGAATAACTTTTGCACAGATTGCGATGACGAATACCCCGATGACGGCGAGCCTTCAGCTGCGTGTACTGATCCTTCTGCTTCCTCAAGAACACACGAACCACATAATGGTGACTATGGCGAGCAAGATGCCGTTCTCCTGAAGAAGAGATCACCAGTGCATCCGAGGACGGTGCACGGTCGGGAGAGGCCGTATAAGCATGTATGTAAGTATTTTAATTGTATTTTTTGTTAATTTTTAATTTCTATTGAAAATTTTTTTGTGAAACTTATGTTTACATTAATTGTTACACATTTCAGATGTATTGATTGATTGTCCTAGGCAGGGCAGGCGAGCAAGATGCCGTTCTCCCGAAGAAGAGATCACCAGTACATCCAAGGACGGTGCACGGTCGGGAGAGGCCGTATAAGCATGTATGTAAGTATTTTAATTGTATTTTTTTGTAAATTTTTAATTTCTATTTAAATATTTTTTGTGAAACTTATGTTTACATTAATTGTTACACATTTCAGATGTATTGATTGATTGTCCTAGGCAGGGCAGGCGAGCAAGATGCCGTTCTCCCGAAGAAGAGATCACCAGTACATCCAAGGATGGTGCACGGTCGGGAGAGGCCGTATAAGCATGTATGTAAGTATTTTAATTGTATTTTTTTGTAAATTTTTAATTTCTATTTAAATATTTTTTGTGAAACTTATGTTTACATTATTTGTTACACATTTCAGATGTATTGATTGATTGTCCTAGGCAGGGCAGGCGAGCAAGATGCCGTTCTCCCGAAGAAGAGATCACCAGTACATCCAAGGACGGTGCACGGTCGGGAGAGGCCGTATAAGCATGTATGTAAGTATTTTAATTGTATTTTTTTGTTAATTTTTAATTTCTATTTAAATATTTTTTGTGAAACTTATGTTAACATTAATTGTTACACATTTCAGATGTAAGATTTTGTAAAATATTTAGTAGATTTTGTACTGTATGTGATGTTTTAAGCTTAGTAACTAAATAAATAAAAAATATAAGCAGAAATCATAGTGGGTGGT